ACCACCTTAGCTCTTCATCTGCACGTTCAGACCTCTGCCCATCTTGAAGCCTGAACAGGTGCTCTTCTGACAATGCACCTCACCCCCAGGGCAACAGCTACCGGCCATCCCAGGATACTCATTTACAAACTGCTCTCTGTACAAAATCATTCGGTTTGCTGATAGATGGCAAATGGTACAAACAAATCATCTGCTGCCTTCTTAGTACAAACTGGTGATAACCCAAGTAATCTCAGAAACTAAGTTTTTTTTAAGGAATGATTACTTGAAAAACAACACTAAGGCAGCAGTAAGTGCGACTATATTTATTCTGTTGTCATCATTAGTGGACTCAACTTTCCTGTTCTAATTAGATCAGTAGCCTAAGCTCAGAAAGAGGATCATGAACCAAGTGTATCTGGAGCATCCCAGGGACAGAGAGAGGCAGAAGGGATTTCCGAGTACTCATTGCCTGTGAAATTTTGGAATCCCCTCAAACCAGTCATTCAAGTTAGGTTGAGATACATGGGTTTAATCCTTCTACTCCCTGCAGCACTTTGGCAAGGAGCTTTCAAGTGAGGCCAAATCAGCAAGTTTGTCTTGTCCTGCTAACACAGCAATGCTGATCTGCTGCGCCTGACAGAAGGCAAGGGCTTCCTCACACACATGATTCTGCCCCCTCTTCAAAGCCAGGGTACTTCAGTGCTCATAAAGATGAAATTTAGATTCTCCAACCTTTTCCTTTCAACAGGTGCCATGGGTATAAAAATACCTTGTTGGGCCAGTGTCACACCAATTTATACTACAGTAAGTAACATCCTCAGGGACAAAATAACTTCCCCTGACCTGTAATTAGTGCAATGACACTTACCAGAATAAGTCCACTCCTCGTTCACACCTTCCATGATTATCAATATCTGAAGTTTATAAGTCTAACAAAAATGTTTTGTTTAACCTAGATGAAATCCATACCCGAGGAGTCTTGCAGTGCTATAAGCAGTGTGCTCAGTGACTGACTGTCTTACAGCACATTGCCTTGGAGACCAGATGACAAAAATCAGCAACAAGTGACTCATAGTCCTTTTCTTTGGAGGAAAGATTCCTCTCCTCTACCAGCCAGAGAATACTTCCCAAGAAAGCTCCATAAGGAAAGATCAGTCTCTACCTGCAAATTCTCCTCTCTTACCTAAAATTAAAAGATTGAATAGGACCAAGTCCTCCACTTCCTCCCACAAAAGCTGTAGTAGTTAAAGACTGAGATCACACTCTGTGCTGAGAACATGCCTGATGGGACACAAGTACACACTACAGCACTGACGTGACCTGCGTGCACCAGCCCAGCAAAGCAAGTGCAGTGCAGGGCTCCACCCTCCCCTGCTCCCCCTTGGCCAAAGGACCAGCACAGAGAAGGCTGCACCCTGGATTGGTGAGGCACAGAGCTGTTACCACAGCCCCCCAGCACAGAGCAAGGGTGACACCCAAAGCCAGCCCTTCTGTATTTTTCCTGCCCAGGACAACGCTGCTCAGTATGAGGCCATGCAAGCACCTCCACAGAGACACAGTCACCTTTAACATTTGTTGAAAGGCTTCCAGTGGAGGTGCTCCAGGAGCAGTGAGGGAACTCTTCAGAGCAGCACAGCAAATATCACTGCTGAAAGCACATACCACCATTTAAAAACCTACTTACAGTATTCAGCTGTGAAAAGCAACCTCGAGTTAAATGAGTGGTCAGAATAAGACATGTCTCAAAAAAAGGAATCTTTACCTAGAGTAGCATCAGCACAGTGACTATCCCCACGTTATCACATGGTTCCTGCAAAGCAGAAAGGGAAGTACACTAACCCATGCACCAACCAGTTCTCCCTAGCAGGGCCTTTTTGTTGTGGTCAAGAACTATACTGATCCTAAAGGTACCACAACTCACACATCGTGAGCTGAACTAAGTGCCCTCTGGCTATATGGGGCACATCAAGCCCTCAAAATATCTTTGGTTTCTCTCAGCTGCAGCTGAGTTGAAGACAAAAGTCAAATTGAAGCAGTTGGTTTTTATTCCATAGTTCTACAGAACAGTCCTTTCAACTGGGGTTGTCACAGCATACATGGAAAACATTTTTCAGTCATTCAGAACACGGCCTTTGTGGCTGGTTTCTAGTTTTTGCTGGTTGGTTGGTTGTTTTTTACCCTGTAGAGAGTAAAGAATCATATTAGGGAAAAATTAAAAGGGATGAATCTGTCTGATTGTATTTCTATAAAGCAACAGGAGTCAAAAACTTTTGCTTCAAAGCACTCATCCACAAACACTTCCTCAACCACTGGAGAAGGGCATCAAGGAGACCCAACTGCAGAGGAGTTGAGTACTTACCTAGTTAGACTCCCCTCTGTATCAGCCCATCTTGACCATATATTGACCATCATCTACTACTGCAGTAGTCAGCATGATGAATTTAAGTATTTCAACTTCCCAAATGAAGAAATGAAATTAATCTAAAAATAGTTTAATGTAGCAAGTTTGGCTATAGAACCAGTGCAACATAAAGAGGACACCCACTGTATAACCAACTTTACTGCTTAATCTTAACAGAGTAAGCTACAGATACAACGGATTTACCACAAGTTATTTGGTTAAATTAAATACTGCAGTTAGGATCATGCTGTTGGTAATTGTGGCTTTACAGTACCAGTGCTCAAGTTGGCCAAGTTAGTTTTACTGTAAGTAAAATGCAAGTTTACAGAGAAATAAAATAGTTTAGTATAGTGCGTTGTATTCTGCTTCATGCTCCGTCGCAATGATAACGTCTTTGACAGATCAACAGGATTTCAGCATTATGTTAATAATGCCAAAACATACAGGAATTTTAATGCCAAATTTACAACATAATACAGTGCTTAAACAGATTTCTCAGGTATGGTGGCCGAGTGAGAACATGACACAGGACTGAGAAGCATCCAAGCACGACTCAGTGCGTACCAAGTGACCACGCCGACAGGAATGCTTTCACCTTTTGATGGAATTATTGTTCTAGAAGTTTGTGTCCCCAACATAAATCATGTAAAAAGATTGTTGAACCTTTGCCTCAAACACAAAGCTAAAGCATTATGTGTTATTTACAAACTTGAACCAGCAAAATCACTCTAAGAACAGAAAAAAAAAAATTGTGATCGTTTGACAAAGATGACAGAGCTTGATTACTGTATTATGTAGGCTAGAACAGTAATGAAGTTGTAAACAAACTTTAACCAAATTAGGTTAATGCATCTACTCTTAACTCCAGAATATTGTCATTTCAGCAAACAGTGATTTTTTTTTTTTTAAAGCTTAGGACACTAACAGAGGTTTTATTTTTGGCTTTAAACAAAACTGATACAAATCTGGAAGCTGGCAAATCACTTTTGTTTCTTATTAAACTCCATTAGCTTCTTCACTGCAACTTCAGCAAAATTTTCAAACCCCCTGTTTTTATCTAATTCTGCTTCAACTTAAGTAGCTGGTAGCACAGTTGAAGCAAACACTATCAACACTTGAAAAGTTCCTTCTCAGAGTGGTTTGTTTTTCCACTGCTGGGGATGAAATTAGACTGCTGGCATTGTTCTACATAGAAAACAAAATACTAAAGCATCCATTTTTGATTTTAAAAGAAAAACTTCCTCAAAATTAAATACACTCTGCAAATATGCAAAGAAATATATAGGCAAATCAGATTGGAATCTGTCAATCACAGCAGCGTCCTTCTCATTATTTCTCCACCCCACCCTCCAAACTTAACAGCGTTGCCCAAGTGCCTGATGTGAAAATGAGAACATTAAGTTCATTTGCATGAAGCCTGGCTACAAAACGAAAAGAAAAATAAACTTTGTCCCTGCCGCATCTACTTTTTATATTTTTCCTGCATTTTGTCATGAACTCACACAAGTACAAAGGGGATTGTGTTCCGGTTGTGTGTGGGGTTTGGTTTTTTTAAAACAGGCATGTGTTATGCAAGACAAAACTGAACAAACTTTTGTTTCACTTCAGAAAGATTTTTTTGTTACTAACTCATTTTTCTTCATAACTGAAGGTGATAAAAATAAATGCAGGGTAATAAAAAAAACCTAACCCTGTAGTCAAACTGCTTTTCAAGTATGTCTCTCCCCTCATGAAGGAGTTGCATTAGCTATGCTATCAACCAAAACCCAGGTCACAATCAACAGGATTTAGACCCTGGGTCCAGATCTCCTGCAACTGGGCTCAGCCAGACCTCTAGCCAAGGTTACACCAGCCTGGAAGCGGGAGGCCAACGGGGACACAGTGCACTACATCATGCATGCCCTACATCACTCAGCCCCCCGACTCTCACTACACCCACTGCCACGTCCCCATTGTGTCCCTGCATCAGGAGAAATGGCACAGGAGCCACACACAGTGACCACGGACGGGTACCGCTGTTGGCTCATCAGCCAGGTGCAAATCTGCCTTCTGCTGAAGGAGAAGCACTCTGCAGACTTATTAGACCAGTAAAATTTTCCCCACAATGTTTCTACACGGCACAGCATAAAACACATCTTAGTATTTCATTCAGTCTGGAATTCACATCTCAATCTATTGCAATTATGGAAGCCAATGAAAAGTCAATGAGAGGTGTTCTGCAAGAGTTGGTCCCAGCATTAAACACTAAAACACATGGAAAATCAAAGGGGACACAATTCCGAGTCACAATTAGCGATGGTGACAGGTTAAAGGTTTTAGTTCTTCCTTAAATTCACCTCCCATTAACGCAAGAGAAAAGTGCAACTTTGCAGCATGTTTGCTCACGTCAAGTTTTTCCTCAAGAACACATTTTGCAGTAACAAAATATGGTCTATAAAGTTGCAAAGTGCACGAGCTGAAGGCACAGAGTACGAACACATAGGAAAACAGATTTCAAAATATCAAATAACAAAAGAGATAAAAGAAAAATCTGCAATTTAAAACTCCCTGACAGAAGATACATTTATATGGGACCAACTCTTAAAAGGTGACAATTTTTAAACTAACAAACAAATACTGCAAAATAATGAAACTTTATTCATATTAAGTAAAAGCTCCAGAAAATACCTTGAAGTTTAAAAACTAATACACTGACGTGTTAACTAGTTTTAAGAATGTCCTTAATATTAAGAAAAGAGTGCAAAAAAGGTTCTTCCATTCTAATGCTTTTGGAAGCTGCTGATTTTGGCTGCCCATTTCCACTTTGAAAGGATTGTTTTTCAAGGTGCATTCCTCACAAAAGTCACATAAGATGAACTTGTTGATAGGCTAGACCAAGGAATCATGTCTTTCAAAGTCATCCCAATTGTAGCAGCAACTGACATATTATATAAAGAAGAAAGCCCCAAACTCTTCTTTGACTCATAGTTCGTGTCAGAGCTCAAGTATCAGCAGTTGCCAAAGGAGGCTCCGGATACCACCTGTGCTCCTCCAGTGTCTGTTCTGGCTAGGGACAGAAGCTGATCCAGGATATTCACTATCTGTACCCCCTGGAGCTTGCACAAGCTGATGAGCCATCTGAAATGATATAAAAAGTTCAAGAAACTCTCTCATATTAAGCCTTCACCTTAAGTCCTTTGCCCCCTTCTCCCAACAGCCCAAAAAAACCAGTATTGCCTGCAAAACATTAACAGTGTAAAGCAAAGCTGATATATCATGTAAACATCCACTCATTCATTGCAGGTTGGACTGAAGGTTCATCATAAAGCTTTAAGAGCTGAAAGCACAGGAGGAAACTTGCTGGGAAGAATGCAGTAAAACAAAGTTAACAACAGTACCAGGACAGATATTGTTCCCCAACCCTTAAGGCCATTTAATGACACTCAGCACCCCGTACTTCAATCCTAACCTAGAATGTATGGGAACAGATTCTCTCCTAGCCAACTATTCAGTCAGCACAGAAGATGAGACCTTTGCCTGGCTGCACCCAAAATTAGGGCTGCCTGGAGTAAAGCAACCACACAATGGCAACACCATTCCTCCCTGTGTCTCCTCCCTGCACTCCCTGATCTATACTGGGGGAAATTCAGGGAGTAGCAAAGTGAAGAACCTCACAGTTAAACACAATGCAAGAGACTTCATCTACCAATGGAAGAGAACTTCCCTGCTGTGTGTCTCACAGCATTTGTAGCCAAAAACTGCCTTTAGCATCTCAGCACAGGTGGATCCCAGGTTGTGTGAGGCATGGAACTGTGGGTTCCAAGTTGAAAAGCAAACTCTCTGTTTTGCCAACAGACAGAAACACACATCACCAGCAAGTGGTTTATATGAGAGGTGGACTGGGTCATTTCCTTGCCTGTTATGAGTACCCTGACCAGGAAGAGACTTGGGACAACTATATTCTTTTTCCTAAAGACCTCAACTTCCACTCAAATGAAGTGGAACTACCCTAGCCTCTGTAGATAGAATAGTTCATATTATTACTCTGACTGGTAAAGGTTACACTGGTGGAGGGACAGCTAGATGTGGAGACACTGCCTCTGACACCTCCTCACCCCTAGGAACCCAGAAGTCCACCACTACCTGGATGCCCAACCCCTCAGGGGCTGCAGCACTGGAGGCCAGGGTCAGATGCATACTTACTGTAAGTTAACTCTTCTCCAGCTCTCTTGCGTGACTGGTCACCTCTAGGAAAGAAGGGGAAGATAGGTATTTTCATGTTAACTTTTTGTTTCTTTCATGAACTAATTGAAGATGCTCCTGCTCACTGCAGGAGGGTTGGACAAGGTGAGCTTCAAGGTCACTTCTAACCCAAACCATTCTACGATTTCAAAAAAGGGAAAATAATAGTGAAATACCTCAGTATAATCATCAGCTTCTCAGATCTGAGAAACAAAATTCAAACCAAGTAGCAATAACATGACAGCAGGATTCTTAATTTACTAAACCAAAAGTACCAGCTCTACAGATTCAATACCTCATCCTTTTGTTAAAGATAGTAGGTTTGACAAGATAATTTTTTTCAAAATGAAGATGTGGAAAATTGTTCATGTGCAGTGTGGTCTTGAAGTCATGCATAAAATTGTTTCCCTTAATTCAAACTCCACAATCAAATTTTACAGAACTATGTGAAAAAAAACTCTGCATCTATCAGTATAAAAAGGCAAGAAGCTCCTGAAAGCCCAGCAACCAGACGCCAAGTAAGTCTGAGCTGACAGCATTCCCTCTTCATCAGAAGATCTAAATAACTAACTAAAGTTGTATAAACACTGGATGACATAAGTGCTCCTAAAAACCCAGTCAAATTCCCATTTATTTGGAAAACGTTTATTTTCGTTTTATCCTTGTGCACACAAACTCTTGAAGCAGGAAAATCTTGCTGCTTCACAAGTTTCTTGTGATGACAGATATGCTATTGATATTGTTACATAAGGAAGATTGCAGTGTGTCTCAATCACAGGGGTTATAATTCCACATTTATCTGCTGGAAGTTGGTAGAAATCAATGTTTTTTCTGATAATAAGTGTTCTTCCCTGGAACCACTCTTAAGGTGACAGACCTGCTGTGTATGCCATGATTAAGGTCTTTCACAAGAAAAATACTGCCAAGCAACTGCCTCGTGCTCTCATTTTTCTGCAGCAATAGTATTTAACAGTGTTGATGACTATTTCAACTAGAACCTGACATGTCATTAATTCTCCTGAAGCCACCTCACTGTGCTGTGCTCCTCACAGTTACTGTTGTAGGAAATGCAGCAGCAAAGACATCATTTTTTGGTGCAATTAGAGAACATGACATTTTATATTAAACCAGAAGAGAACAGACCTGGGACACTACTTCATAGAAGAGAAAAACAACCCTTTTATACATATAAATCTATACATCTATGTAGGAGTAGGACTTCTGAACAATTCTGAAAAGTTACAAATAAATATAACCTATATTTATAACACAGAAAGAAGCATATGACATCCTGAAGTATATTTTGAGGCAAAATGCATTTCAAATACCACTGCAAAATGCCACACAGCAAATATATTTCCTGTACTTCAGTTTTCTTTTACCTGTCTCCTTTTAATGAGACAGACTCTAAGACTTTATTTAACCTCCATGTTTACCAGACTGTACTGACTCCCTGGCAGTACAATCATATAAAACTGACTGTGCAAAAGACTAATTGGAGGCTAAATACCATCTAACCTTTATTCAACTGCAAAATTTTATTTTGCATTTCTGATTAATAAATTGGAAGCAAGCTACGTAGAAACTGCAGTTGCACAAAAACACTGGTTAGGGTAGGCCAATTTTCTAAACCTGCAAGGCACACCAAAACTCTTCATGTGTCCAGCACACAGAAGCCCTGCAGAAAGTCAGAAGGCAGAGGAACTCTTAATCTAATTTAGATTCTGCAAACAATGTGTGATACAGGAACCTTTTCTTAGTTCTTCCCTGTACAGCCATCCACAAGCCCTAATCTCTTCTTTGTCCTCATCTACCACAAAGGACAGAAACAGTTTCCTATGGATTTGCATTAGTTCCAGTGCTAGAGAATCACTTTTCTGCATAAAACAGTTGTTAAAATGTATTCTGGAGATCCCACCAAGTCTCTAACAAGAGAGCCCCACAGAAGCATCTAGCCTTTGCAATGGTCAGCACCCATCCTATGACCCTTCCTAGCCTTTTATACACTATCCTCCTCACAGTACCAGCCAAAGAACCTCACAACCAAGCTGACAAGCCTGTCTTATTTCACATATCTAGGGAAAAATGGGTTTGAAACTGATACTTTTTGAAGATATGGACTGCTACTACTTGAAACTCCGTTTTTTATTTTTTATGAGGTGTGAAATGCAGTTCTAAGCAGAACTATAATAAGCCACCCACAGAAAGAGTAAGATTGAAAGACAAAACTAAAACGTTCAAAGTTTTTGTTTTGTCCTGTGCATTACATTCTTTTGTTAGCATTATATGCCTACTCTGTTTCAAAGTCTCAAAATTCTGTTTCTTGGGCCAAATGCACTGCTTCTCTCAGCCCAAGCTCCTATGGCTTTGTTTTTAGTGTCTTAACTCATGGATATCTATTAAAAAAAAAAAAAATCATTTTCCTCCACAAAAAGCCTTCCAAGGAGCAAGTCTACAATACCATTTGCATTTGGGTCAGCAGTAGAGTTTTGAAGCTCAATAATACACCAAGCTTTGAACAGGTATTAACTTCAAGGAACACTACATGGAAGTATAATATCCAGGAGTATACCTAACACTCAACAGATCCACATCTAGTGGATGTTCAGAGTATAGGACCAGATTCTCAGTGCTGCACAGCTAGCAGGGAAGATGGAGATGTACAGCCTCTTCACACAGAAACAAACCTCCTGGGAACAGAGCATGACGCCCCAGCCTGATGGGGGATTGTCAGGCTGCTGCAGGAGGGGCACAGTGCTGTGGTGAAAGTGCTGTGCTTCTGTCTAGGCAGTGAAACAGAAGAGCACAGAGCAACAGGCACCACTCAGAGTAAACAATATAGTTTATGAACATTTCCACTCTCTCTTTTACTGTCTTCTCCCTCCCCCAATTCAATACTCAGAAGAGAAACACCTATTTAAAATAAATATGTTGATTGTATAACTAGCTCTGAAAATGGAATAAAGACAAGTCAACAACTGATATTTGCAGGAGCATAATAAAAAAAAGTCAGCTTACAGAAAATAAAGGCCAAAGTAAAAGCTGAGCAAGGTCATGATCATGCACCAGAAGCACAATCTAAACACAGCGAGGTATGAAATGTAAGGAACCCATTTCATGAAAATATTTCAAGACTTGCCACCATCTGCTTTTTGGTATCACCTGCAGGATTGATAGAGCTCAAAACATATGGGAAACAAGGCCATATTTCTGAGTTGTAAAGGTTCTTTATTAACTCTTTAATTATTTCTTCAATATTTTTAGGTGTATCCGTTTTTACCTTTCAGCACTGCCCAGTACAATTACTACTGAAGACTAATAATTATTACCTAGTAAATCCATTCTGCATAAGCTCTCTTTGAAGCTTCTGGTCTTGAGCAGCATATTCCTGAAGCTCAGATTCCACAGCAGGGGGCAGAATATTTGGGATGAATTTAGAAAATAAAGCTGGTGCCATCTGTACCCATTCTGTAATAAGGGAGAAAGAAACAACAAAACAAGTGGAAGATATCTTTTGTAAAAATTTGATGAATGCAACTTTGCTTTATTTTAAATACATTTTAGGAACATTAATTTAAAGAAACAAAACAAAATAAAAACGACAACAAAAAAAACCTAAACCATCCCCCAAGACCCACAGAAACCAAGCCTTAAAGCAGGACAAATTATCAGTCTGTTAAAATCAGATGTTTACATGTAGATAAAGGAATTTTTTTTTTTCTTGGTCATCCACCTCAAACTCAAATTCAGTTCTTCCTGCATCTCACAGGGCTTGCTGAATCTCAGGATACTCTCAAGGACAGGCACTAATGAACAGCAAACTCACCTTTATAACCTTTATTTATTTGTAATACGTTACCCCAGGAAGCGTGTCCATAAAATTTACACCTCTCTTCCCTGAGCCTTAATTCTTGAAAGCACAGTAATGTCATCACATAACCTGCTTCTCCACCCTCCATTTCAAACTAATTAATACAATTCTCTCATCAATCTTCCAAAGCTATATAACGAACATTGAAAAATGTTCATCTAATTTTAACCTGTATTAGTCCAGCTTCAGGATAGAAAGCTAATTTCACTACACTGAACATTCATGCTACAGTTTACCACCTTAAAGCTGCTTCAAGGCTGGTAAGAAACACAAAAGACCGAGCAGATGGCAGTTGAGTTTATAACAACTGTGTAACAAGTTCTAAGAAAAAGAAATACTCCAAGCATTTCTGAAGCCAGACTTTCCAGAGGTTATAGGAGTTGCCTTAACCTTGATCCTGGTAAAAAGGGAAGCTTCTAAATATATTCACTAAGACGTATCAGAAGTTTTATCCAACTCTGACATGTGGTTACCTGGTCCCTGCCAAGCTTCAGAGTTCTTTAATCAGCAAATTCACTGAATAATCAGTACCAGTGTATGGGAGATTCAAGCAAAAATCAATGCACGAACCTCCCTCATCATAGAATTGTTTAGGTTGGAAAAGATCTTTAAGAGCATAGAGTCCAACCATTAACCCAACACTGTCAGGTCACCACTAAATCACACCCCTCGGCACCACATCTACACAGCTTTTAAATACCTCCAGGGATGGGGACTCCATCAGTGCCCTGGGCAGCCCATTCCAGTGCCTCACAACCCTTCTGGAGAAGAAATTTTTCCTAATATCCTATCTAAACATCCCCTGGAGCAACTTCAGCCATTCCCTCTTGTCCTAGCACTTGTTACTTTAGAAAGGAGACTGACCCCTGCCTTGCTACAACCTCCTTTCAGGGAGTTGTCAAAAGCAATCTCCCCTGAGCCTCTTTTTCTTCAGGCTAAACAACCCCAGTTCCCTCAGCTGCTCCTCCTAAGACTTGTGCTATAAGCCATTCACCAGCTTCACTGCCCTTCTCTGGACATGCTCCACTACACCTCAATGTCCTTCTTGGGGTAAGGGGCCCAAAACTGAACTCAGTATTTGAGATGCAGCCTCACCAGTGCTGAGTACAGGAGGACAATCCCTGCCCTAGTCCTGCTGGACACACTAGTGCTGACACAAGCCAGGATGCCATTGGCCTTCTTGGCCACCTGGGCACTCTGCTCTCTCATATTCTGCTAGCTGTCAACCAATACCCCCAGGTCCTTTTCCACAGGGCAGCTTTCCAGCCACTCTTCTCCAAGCCTGTAGCATTGCATTGGGTTGTTGTGACACAGGTGCAGGACATTGCAGTTGGCCTTGTTGAACCTCATCCCTTTGGACTCATCTCATTGATACAGCCTGTCCAGGTCCCTCTGTAGAACCTCTCTACCCTCAAGCAGATCAACAGTCCTGCCCAACTTGGTGTCATCTGCAAGCTTACTGAGGGTGCCCTTGATCCTCTTGTCTAGATCATTGTTAAAGATATGAAACAGACCTGGCACTGGGGAGCACCACTGTGATTGGCCCCCCAAATGGATTTACCTCCATTCATCACCACTCACCCATTCACTCTGGGCCTGGCCAGCCAGCCAGTTTTTTGCCCAGTGAAGAGTATACCCATCCAAACCATAAGCAGCCCATTTCTCCAGAAAAATGCTCTGGGAAATGATATCAAAGAATTTAGTAAAGTCCAGGTAGACAACATTCACAATCTTTCCCTCATCCACTAAGAGCATCACCTTGTAGAAGGAGATCAGGTTTGTCAAGCAGGACCTGCCTTTCATAAATCCATGCTGACTGGGCCTGATCACCTGGTTGTCCTGTTTGTGCCACGTTGCAGCACTCAAGATCTGCTCCATAACCTTCGGTGGTACCGAGGGTCAGACTGACAGGCCTGTAGGTCCCCAGAGTCCTCAGATGACACCAGCACTTGCTTAACAAAAACCAACAACCTCCCTCCCCAAAAACAAACCCCCTGCAACTCTACAGCCATGAAGTGACACTTTTCATTTTATGAAATAAAGAAGTACTACATAGAACGTGGTACTGCCACTGAAAAATTAATAATTACTGCCACTGAATACTTTAGCCAAGCTAATTAACTTGGAACTCACAACATGAAACACTGTGGTAGGGTATTTCATGCTACTGCCAGATCACTACAGGTGAGATGAAAAGATTATTTCAGGTTAAATCCAAGTGGACTAACTAACAGCCCAAGAACCCACTCAGACTTCAGCCTTTTCTACTGTGGCCACTATGTGCTGGAACTAGAATTAGAATATGGGCTTTCTGGCAGGAATTCTAACAGCCATCAAGTACTTCCAACTTGAAGAGAAAGTAGAAGAGAAAGAGAAGAGAAAGCCCATGGCCACCAGCCCCATCAGCTTTGCTTCTCATTTTGCTGCCTGCAGTGCCCAAACAGATGCTTACCAGTGCTGCTCTAATCCCCCAGCACCTCCCACTGGCCACATCTGCTGCTTGACTTCCCCAGGTATCTGCTCCCCAGTCCCCAAGATACACGCAATGGAGCATGTCCCACAGAGTGAGTCAGAAGCACCACCTCAGAGGAACTCATGCCCTGATGGTTTCAGAATTCATCTTCAAGAACCACCATCACCAAAGAACAGCCTTTTACACCAAGAAGTCTATCCTGTGGTCTTCTGGTTGGAATGAAATTAAAGTTCCTCATTTTCTCAGAGGCTGAGAAAGTTGAGGAGCAGGTATCAGAGCAAATGTGTATCTGTTTAAGCAAAAGCTTAAAGTCAGCCACCTGTGTCTTCATACCTACCTGTGGAAAGAGGCTATCACCAACTATAAGAACATTTTTTATACTTAAAAGATACTTTATACATAAAACAACTATACAATATCTGATTAAGCCCATGATACCAGTCCAAACCAGTATCTGTTGTGTTATGAAGTAGACAGCAAGACAGCATTCGAAATGCACAAGTGGGAAATCACAAATCCATCGCCCACAATATTAAGTGCTGTACAACAAAACTGTACTGAGCTGCTTTCAGAAGAAATGTATTTTTATACTTCTGTAAATACCCTTCCTTTCTTTGGTACAGAACAGTTTATAAATGTGTATATAAACATTGTGTATTATAAACAGTTTATAAATTAGTATTGTCTAGAAGTGAAGGTACAATGTTAATTTTGTTGTTGCAACAATCATCCTCACTTGCTGAAAGTGCTTTATCCATGCATGTTGTAAGTGGAGGTTCCAGAACATTCTGGGCTTATCTACATGTAAACATTACACTACCAAAAAAAAAAGGATTTTTTTTATAAGCTTTCCCATCCTCATTTCTATTTCTATAAATGGGGATTGCAAAGCAAAAATAGACTGAACCTCAGACACAATCCTCTCAGTGACACCAAAGTAAGAAGAAAGTATCAGAACTGCAAAGGGAAGGGAAATAGGTACCCTTTATTCATAATTTGAACACTCTGTTACTAAAGTCTTTTCAAACACAGGCTAGAGCCCTAACTCAGTTCTCCAAAATTTACAGAACCAGAGCTTTGGTGCAAAACTGATTAACATCTGCAATGCCATTTTCCTCTCAGTGTAACTGTTGCAGACGATGTCATGATGTACTCACAAGTTAAATCAAGGTCTTACATGAAATAATACCAACAAAATAATGGCTTCATAAAAGAAACAGTCATTCATTTCATGTCAAAGATCTGTCTGAAGTGTGACTCACAATGTAACTTCACTATCTCAATACTTTTAAACTTCTGCCATGACTGACTCATCCAATTGCCTTCTTTATTTGTACCAAGCAAAAGAAATAGGTCTTCCCTCTGTCTCCAGAGTAGAGGGTTGAGTAGTCAGGGGGTTTTTTTACTGAATTTGGTATTCAAATGGTATCTAGTGCAGGTCACAGATGTGCAATATAAAGAACCAGGGCCTTTGCATAGAACTAAACATTAAGATGGACAGAACACAACACACAGTAGTTTGTTCCATGTGCCTGGGACAGATGGTGACCACGTGTGTATTTTGGAAAACATCCCACAACCACAGCACGAGAAGCTCCTAGAAACTTTTTTTACCTGGTCGTAGTGTATACAAGCCTTTCACAATATTTGCCATGGTTGAAGGAGTTATTTGAAACGGCGTTGACTGAGCTTCCAAAAGTAAAGCTGAAATAAAATTAAGACAATTAGCCATTTATCTAATAAAAAACCCACAGGCTCTTACACATACATTTTTGTGTCAAAGAAATACAGTACTTGTGAGTTTTTTGCTATCTGATCTCCTCACAGTGAAAACATCCAGGTATCCAAGTGACACCTTAATTCTCAAGAGTAATAAAACATCACCTGTAAACAGAAGCATTCCAATTATGTATGGTGATAATGTGAAATAACTATTTTTCATTTGCTTTCAGGCAGGCAGGAGGAGTTCTGAGGAAAAACCAAGCAAGCGTGGGCTCTAAGTATTCAGATGCAGAACTGAAGCAAACAATGTATTTTTAGAAGCACTCTCATCCTGAGGGTGCTAAACACCTGGAGATTCACAAATCCTCACTTTATAGTATTTAGCAGCCTGTCCATAAAACCAACACTGGACTGCATGTCTACAAGTGAAGTACAAGTAGGATAAAAAAAGTAAAAATCAAATAAGAAAATTCGTTTGTTCTTTTAAACACAAGTGAACATTTCTATTTTGTTTTTTTGGTCTCTTCTGTAGTAAACACTGCAATAACTGCATCTTCCTCTTGTGGAAAAACCTGACAATAGCACATTTACTGCTTATAATACAACAGCCAGGCCTTCAGCTTGCCTTGTTTTTATTTGAGGTTTGTACATCCATCTGAATCAATATGATTTAAACCAACTGCTGCCTTTCAGGTGTTTTTGCCTCTGCAGAGGAGTTAAGCCATATACACAGCTTTCTGTGCCCACTATACAGAGCAGAAATCACTCTTGCAGTTCTACCTAAAGGGTGCATGTTTTTAAACTTCAAAGCTTCTCCAGTTCCGTCTTCAGCATCTGGCACTATAGTACTTACCATAAAAAGCAAAAATCTTCATTAGCATGTTCTTCCCTTTGTGAAACTAATTAAGGGGCTTATGTAACAGGCAGATTAAAAAAGGAAGTATTTTTTCTAATTTCTAAGTAAAATGGTCATAGTCAACTGTTCTGGATGAATTTATTTTACAAAGAACAATCTTAAATGTGCTCGCTTCTTTCAGCTGAAGCTCTGAGGGGGTGAGAGCTTCTGATTTGTTTTGCAGTAATATATTTACAGCCTCTTTCCTGAAGATTTTTCAAATAGTCTCCTGGCAGTCAGGAAAGGTGCAAATCAAAATTAAAAAGGAGATACTGCTTTATAAGGAAGCTATGCAGACAGTAATGCACAAGCCATAAAACATATATGTGCGTATACACACATATATAATTACTGTAACTACTTCAGCATGAGCTACACCAATAATTTGTAGTTTCCAGAGAATTCTAAATATGTTCTTCATATGTAGACACCACATTATGTTCCAAAGCTATTTAGAGCAAATTATTTAAAATAGAGTAAGCCTAAAAATTAATACTGACTTAAAGACCACGAAGTCCAGAGTTAAAAATCACTTGAATATTTTAATAGATGTTAAGAAATAATTTGATTAACAGAGCTTTTTGATTTTACTCCTGATAAACTGGAAACTGTGCTCCCCAGGAGAATCTAAATTATAGCTAGCACAAGCAGTTTAAAAATATATCAGAATCTACTTTATATAAAACTCTGTATGTATAGGGCATACTATGGAAAAGAAGCTATTCAGAGTTGCTTTGGGGACAGACCCAAGCATTATAGAAGCTGCCCACAACTACACAACTAACTAGAGAGCATCTGACTAGTTGGATATCTCCAAGTAAATGGAAAATTTCAGCTCATACCTATTCCACCTATGGATGGAAATGGAATATGGTACCTTTACGCTGAGCACACAGTTGTATGTACTGTCATCCTTCAATTTTTTAAAGGCAACACAGAACAAGTAGACAGCAGAGACCAGCAAAGACCAATCAGAGATCTGGTGATGAGCACACCAGACTTGCAGCCCACCTCACTCCTCCTAGCTGGTGGTACTGGAGACATGCTAAGGGTGCAAGATGCTGCACTCCTCTCCTTCCACTCTGCTAACAAAACCCTCACAGCACTCCCACAAGTGGTCCCATAACATGCTCAAGGTGATCTTATTTGTACACATAGTAGTTTAAGAGGACAGCCCAAATCTTGAGTGTAGGTCACCATTACAAACGTGCAGTTATTAGTCAGTTTAAGGTAACATTCACCCACAAAGCTCATTTCACTTGTAATCCCTTGAGGTAACATGAACAGATGTATTTGCTATATAATGCAAGTAAAATAAGCAGCCACTTGTTTCTTTTCTAGATTACTGACTACATCACCTGGCATTAGAAAGGGATTACATTAATAAAATCAGTGGAAGAATTAATCTGAAGATCAATCCTACAGAAATAGCTTCTTCATCACTCTACTGAAGCTTCAGAAGTTAATATTTATCATCTTTGTTTCTGCAGCTGCTTATATTACATGCTGCAGTGGAAATTTAAATCACTCCTGATTTACAGTCAGTAAATAGAAGCACAAAGATATTATATTCAACAGCAATATAACTAAGAAGTTACATGCATTTCCTGTTTCTCAATAATGAAAACTAAAAGAATATACTATTCACTGAATCGTCAGCAATCCAGCCTGTATCTTTTCCAGAAGGTAGATATAAATACCTGAAGAATGGACAGTACTGCTGTAAGATTCCTACTTTCAGAATGATTTCTGTAAGAAGAAACAAGACTCCCCTCTTTGGATAGATCCAAAAAATCTAAATGCAGGTTTACAGACAAAGATGTAAAACTTCTTCAAGCACAAATAAATCTCCAGTTTTGCAGTAAAACCTACCTAAACATTCAAACCTTTATTACTAAAGAGAGTGTGACTTGAACAGAAGGAATGGAAACAGCTGTGCCAGACATGCTGACGTTACCTCTTTTATTTTACAGTCGTACAAAAGACTTAATATATTAAGGCTTTGGCTCTTGCTTTGTTAGAGTAACTGAGCCTCTACAACAGAGACTCCTACCTACTCCCAGAAGCTCCACCTATGGCATTTACAAAGAGAACAGGGCGAGGCTGCACAAAACTAACCCTCAAATGACTACCTGACCACCTCCACAGGATTTATGAACTAATATTGCATCTTACAGACTAAGTAACCAACATGCAAAGAAGTTAATTAACCTGCAAATAGTCTTGAAAAATCACTCATGGCAGAATCATGGAAGAAATGCATGGGATGCCATGATGCAATGCTGGAATGGCAGATAGATACAGGATGCCTTCCAATGTTGTTGAACCGAGGTAAGACAATACCCAGAATGGCCTCAGGAATTTTTGGAGGAATGATGGATGAACTATACTGGAGTGAGGTCTGAGTCTGGAGTAACTGAGTTGCTCCACTATTGCACAGTAACCCTGCAGAACCTTGTCCCTCAAAGGTTTAAGCTACTTCCTAATTACAGGGGGTACATGGGACAAGATCCAGGACCCCAGCAATTCCAGGAGTAGCAGATGATTATTTTACAAGTTCAAATTCATTTGTTCATAACTCAGGATTCACTTGCAAAACCTAAGGATTAGCTATTCTAAAAATCTTTTTCTATCCTTCCAACATTCCTTTCGAAATTTAGATTAAGCTTGGCAAAGATGTAATTTTTCCAGAACAAAAATTAAATTTTCGCAAGTTAGCAGACAAGATTTCCCCCCCCCCCCTTTTACAATAATCTAATAGAACTTCAAAGTAAGGTATTTTAACAAATCATACATTAGTATGGCTTAGGCAGATGTGTTCAGAGTTGTAATTATTCAACAATGCACTTCAAAAAATTATAAAGTGTATTCCTATTAAAAGCAACTCCAACAGCTTCCACAAGTAAGGCGTTAGTCAGCTCTTGTTCTCCAGTCTTCAACAGAAGCAGAACTAACCACTTAATGAAGCTACAAAGCAAAACAATGTAGTCCAGAGATCTTTCACTCACTGTATAAACAGTGCTCTTTGATACTTAATTCCATTATATATGAAATATTTCTATTATTTTGCAGAATAATAACTTTGGTGTTTCCACAGATCTTGAGCTCTTACTCAACTGTGAGACAGACAGGGATGCAGAGGAGTAATGATGGAGTCACCACCAGCACCCAGCTCAAACCTCAACAGCACAGGCTCACCTGGCAGTTCTGCCCTTCAGAATGTCATCCCATCACAGGCAGCCCCATCCACAGTAAAACAAATTGCCTTTCTCTCAGCTCAGTTACATCAGGTCCACCTGACCACACACACCCTTCTCTTCCCTGGGATAACATCAGCTTCACCTTGCATATGGTTCCAATGGTATCCCAGTCTTTAATCTCAAATCCAGCCCATGCAATGCACTTGATTGAACCCCACGTGCCAACTGCAGTTAAATCAGAGGGGAACCACTGTGGCTGTTGTCCCTGACATGTGGCTGTAGGTTTCTGCTACTGCTCTTTTGGGATGAGGCTTTTTGGGAAGTTGTTTGTTTGTTTTTCTTTGGGGTTGTGGTTTTATTGTGGAGTTTGCTTTGGTTTTGTTTGGTTGGTTTGTTGCATTGTTTTTGTTGGGGTTTTTTTGTTTGTTTGTTTCTTTTTACCTGATGTCTATTTATTACTAAATTGACTTTTGAAGTTGAATCATTTATTACCTCTTCATTACTTTAACCTAGGTACAATTTGTACATGTTACCCGTTGATCTAGAATTTCAAAAGCCTTTTGCAGGAAAACCAACCTTCCTTCTGGCTTAACCCTCATATTTTGCAGTTACAAACTCCTCATGACTCTGCATTTTTACTTTCTTTTAAGCAGAACTAAAAATAAATTCTTACGCAAGTTAAATTCTTCACAGGTTTGTAATGAATAAAAATATAGGTTAGAAAAAAAGCCAAACATTTAAAGTTGTGTTTATTACCAAGCATTTGCAACTAGGCATTTAATGAAGCCATAGATTACTTTTGAAATATTCATTACGTAGCCCAAAAGCTTTATTAAGTAGCTAATAAAAAATGCTACAAAATAATTCCAAGTTTTAATCATATGGAA